TTTGAAGTAGGCTCAAATTTGATTGTTTAGAGCCTCGACTCTATATAAACTTTTTTTCCTAAAAAGAATTAGAGGTAAAAGAGATAAACAAAATGAGAAAAGAGTTTACAGGTGCCGTATAACATGGGTTAGTGTTTACGGTACTTAAAATGCCGTATAAGGGTTAGTGTATAAAATGCCCTCAGTATTACGGTAACATGGGTTAGTGTTTATGGTATTTAAAATGTCCTATAAGGGATAGTGTGTAAAATGACCTCAGTATTGCGGTACTAAAAGTACCGTATAAAATTCCCTAAGTATTACGGTACTTAAAGTACCGTATAACATGCACTAACTATTCCCTAAGTATTACGGTACTGTATAACATGCACTAACTATTACGGTAATACGACTACCATGAAGGTTATTTTGGTAAAAAAAAAATCGAAAATGAGGAAAAAAGGTGCAGACGAGATAAACAAAAGTTTGGGTTTTTTTTTTCAATTAAGCTTAAATTAAAGTATATGTGGGATAATTTTCCTATTTTTTTCTTCTCTTGTGCTTGTAGAATCATGTCGGAATACTCGGATCTGTACGTTTGTTCATTCCACTTGCAATTTTCTTTTTGGTTTTTATTTCTTTCTCTAAAATGCAGTTTTTTTTTGTTTTGTAAAGAAAACCCTTTTTGTGGTTTTTTTTTTCTCTCTTGCTGCTTTTGGGCTCTTGCCAGAATATTCGAATCCACATGTTTGATCGTTCCGCTTGTGATTTTTTTTTTCGGTTTTTATTTTTTTCTCTAAAAAGTAGTTTTTCTTCTTTGTGTTTATGGGCTCATGCTGGAATACTTGAATCCACATGTTTGGTTCTTTTCCTTGAGATTTTCTTATCGATTTTTATTTCTTTATCTAAAATACAGTTGATGTTGTTGGGTGTTAGTCAGGTGGTATCAGAGCATAGATTCTTGTGGATCGTGGTATTCGTCGATAGGCATCATGACACGTAGAAATGTTCTACCGTCAGATATCGGGACTCAACCCATCTGACAAGAATGAGACCTCTGATATCTCTGAGTTGAAGATATCAAAATTTTGAGAAAGCCAGTAGAGGAGCTGATCCTGTGCTTAGGCAAAATCTAGCCCCCGATACACTATAATGACGATAGTGAGTCTGATGCTCTACTATTTTCGAGAACCCGTTCCATGCTTATGTTCTGTGTCGGGAGCCTCATGGTATTTTCGAGAACCTATTCCATGCGCTGTCGGAGCCTCATGGTATTTTCGAGAACCCATTCCATGCGCTATCGGAGCCTCATGGTCCTCATGGTCCTCATGGTCGAGAGATTTATCTAGTTACCTTTATTATCTTTAATGAATGTCTTATATTTGATGAAGAGCAAGATCAAATGAGAGAAGTAGAAATTATCCTTGAGACAACAATGATATCTAATTTTCTCATCAATGGAGAGATGAATATCTAATTTTCTTATCAATTGAGAGATGGAGACTCAAGATCTTGATTTGAACTCAAAGATATTGATTTGAACCCTCAAGATGTTGATTTGGACTTTGGAGATGCATGATGAAGAAACTAAGGGTTTATTATTTTGAATATCTATTTTTTTCATCAATGGAAAGATGGTGACTCAAGATGCTGATTTGAACCTTGATAAGTAAAGATAAGGGCACGTGGCTTTTGGAAATGGTTAGTCTTTAAAAATGTTGGTTTGCATGATAAGCCTTGACGATTCAAAAGGAGTTGTCTTTTACAAGGGTGCAGATGCCATACGGATGTATACATCCGTAGGTGTAGAGGTAAGGTGCACCTTCAAATTTTATCATGGTATATGATTTTGATATAAAATGTTTTAAGGATTATCTCAAAATATATTTTTATATCCAATTATAAAATTTAAAATTTTAAAATTGGTTAAAATCAAGTAGATCTATAAACATATGAAAATTTTGAAAATGGACGGTGTAGATAATATGTTGTAAAATGCAGTATTTTTGAGATTTAAAATATTTTTATTTTTCATAGTCATATATATCGATATCGAGATGATCAATCAAACGGTTTTTCAACATTAAAACTACCTTTTAAAAAATGGTTAAAATCAAGTTGATCTATAAACATATGAAAATCTTGAAAATGGACGGTGTAGATAATATGTTGTAAAATACACTATCTTTGAGACTTAAAATTTTTTTATTTTTCATAATCATATATCTCCGATGTCAAGATGATCAATCAAATAGTTTTTTAACATTAAAACTACCTTTTCCGATGAATTTTTGAGGGGCATCCGTAGTTCGGCATTAAAAGGTTGCATTCTTACATAAACTTTTTCCCTTTTACAATAGGATAAACCTTGGCCTAACGTTTTGCATGGTTCTTATTTTACGAGAGATAAACCTTACGTTTGTTTAATAAAGAAGGATGGTCCTCTGGTGAAGTACGAAATCCTTGTAACGATTACATTGTAAACAAGAGATTGGTTTTTGTTAATGAGAAAGAAAGTTATTTTGGTGTGCCAGACGTTTTGTTTTTTTCGCGCTTGCGATTTTTTTTTTTTCGGTTTGTATTTTTTTCTGTAAAACGTGGTTGATTTTTTCAGGTGTTAGTTGCTTGTAATTTTATATTGCGCTATTATAGTAGAGAATCATTCACATAATGTGACATCATTCACATGCAACATTAATCGTTTTTAACAACTGATAAAATGTCTCTAGTTTCTTATAAAAATATTTATTCTACTTCTCTTAATGACCAAAAATGTTTTTATTCAAAAAATTTTGTATTACAAAAGGTAATGAGTATCTGAAAATGTTGAATATACATGCTGGAGTACCCTAACATAACCCATTAATTACTTCTAATATAAATATTCAATTGTCCCGTTATGTTAATTTAATATCATCAATTTTGCCAAAATGGGCCCTTATCTCCGGAGTGAATTTTATTCTTACCCTTAAAATAATCAAAATTGTCTCGCCAAGAAAAATACATTTGCCGAGGATGATGGAGTATGGGAAATTTATCAAATACACCACAAATATTAACACTATTTAACAATTTAACCACATATTTCGATTTAATTTTGAAATGCCCATCAAAGTACATATACTTTTGATTTGAAAAGTAGAAAAGGGGTAAAATGTTAAATAATTAAAAAGTGAGATGTATTTTGATAAATCTTCCCATTGAAATTATTAGAATTTGCAGGGTTATTTAGTTTAATAATAACCCTCACACATGCACTTCTTCCTAGTTTTAGTGCCGGAGTATCCTTATATTAACATAATAATCATGGTGTTTCAACATTAGTACACTTTTATAACATTCATGGCCTAGAAAGGACTAAGTTAACATTTCCAACTATGTTAACTCATGCATGGCCATTTAATATGAAAAAATTTTCATTACGCAAACTCATGCATAGGCATTTCAAAGGTTTTAGGACTCCAAGCACATTCCTAATCACCACAACCCAATTTTCTCCTCAAATGTGCGAATTTCGAGCTTCAAAAACAACACATCTGTGATGATCTATGAAGAATTGAAATATAGTCTTTAAGGACAAACAAACCAATTTTAAGGCTCAAAACTTCATTTGCTTTACAGATTCATGATCACAGTGGTCGAGATAAAAGGCATGTAAAATTTTGAATCCAAAATCATCTCCATGATGGATTTTGAAAGGGTAGACTAGCTGCAACACATGCATCCCCATAACCATCTAAACCTACCCTTTTAGTATATTACATCTTTCATGGCAATTATAATTCATGATCTTTTTTTTTTAACATTAACACAACCGCATTTATAATTCATAGTCTGCCATGTGTCTGTCCTTTTGACTGTAAATTTTATATTACAGTTTAACTTTTGAACAGCCATTTCCTTAATCTCATTTTTTATCCCTTTAGCTTTTGAACAATCACAAACCTTTCTATTTATGCGAGATTGGATATGAATTTAAAGATAAGTTTCTCTAAGGCCTAGGCTTTATGAAAACAAAATAAAGCCTCACCTCAAATCCTCGTCCGAAAATCACTTGGCAACGGAAATCTCTATGATGGCTCCAAAATCAATTTCCAACACCAACAATAAAATTTGAAACTCAAAAGATGGTGTAAATCTTGAGGCTCCATGAACCCTTGTTTTTAGGGCGAAATGAATGGCCTAGATAATTTTTTGCTGTATACACTATTTTTAGAGCTTGAAATCCTTGTTTTTCACAACAATAATATTCAAACCGAGATAAAAATTTTCAATTTTGATGAGTTATGAGGTGAAGCTTTACTTTTTTTGATAAGGCTGCACCCCTATAAAACCATTTTCCTTAATTTAAAGTTTAACAAAGTGCCATTAGGCATTAAGCACTCGGCTCCGTCTTTGCTCTATAATATATATTAATCCTTCCTAATCATTCATCCCGAATTTAAATTCATGAGTTGGTGAGCCAGAGTGTCGATGCTTCTCCTTTCTTATTTAAAAGCCTTGTAGAGCATAGCTTCCTTTTAGGGTTAGAAGTGCATGGTAATGCTTATTTTTCATAGTCTCTTTCTTGGTGAACTCCAAAAAATTTAAAAAGACTTTGCATTCCCCCTGTAGCATTTTCTTCATTTCATTTGAATAAATTTCACTCCTTGAGGTAGAACTAATTTTAGGAGGGGTGAGTTTTGCATAAAGTGTCTACCTTATACTATTGAACAAAGGTGCCCCTCAAAACTATGATGAAAATGCAATTTCGATACCACAAAGCCTTGCAATGATATGAAAACCTGCCCTCAATTAGGAAATTTAAAGTTCTAGACATAGTGACGAACAAGCAAATCTATAAACGCTGCAAAATCTTGAAAATGGATGGTCGAGATAATGTGTTAGAAGAACTATTTTTTGGAACTAGAAATCTGTTTTTTCTTTCATGTCTATGAATCTCGAGGTCGAGATGATCGATTTGAGGGTTTTCCACATAATAACCACCTTCGCTAGTGGGTTTGTTTGTGCACCTTACCCCCTACAATATAAGGCTGAGACCTTATATACATTTTTTCCTTTTAGGAGTATCTCTTGTATCCTTGTCAACTTTTGTAAAAAGATTTTACACTCCTAATTAAAATCAATTTTACAAGGGCACAACAACGTTACTGCAAGATCAATAAATTGTGACTAAAAACTCCGGTAAATGGTTCCCGCACTCATCTACAAAGATGTGTTTCTGATTAGCAGCTCATCTACAAAATAAACTTATGCTTCTAATTCCGAGAGGTGATCAATCCTACAAGGAGGGCACAATAACTGCAAGATCAATATTTTGGAGCTTTGTAAATTCGGGCATGTGATTCCGGCACTCATCTGCAAGATGATGTTTCTGTTTAGCAGCTCATCTGCAAAAATATTGAGGTACATTAGTGTTCTTAAGCAGTATGTAGTAGGAAAATGAGGCGAGACGGTTTGCTAATACCCTACTTAGAGGATGCCTAGCTGCTTGAGAGAATCGGGCCCAACGAGGAAGATCCGCCTTGACGTTTGCCACCGAAACACAACCACACCTTTATATGAAGTCCTTGGAATGCCATCCTGATTGGAATCCAAGATTAATTTTTGTGAGAAAAGCTAGGCCCCTTCTCACACATTCAACAATCTCTCCCTTGCAACTAAAAGGAAGTGTGTCGTTGATCAACACTATTGGTGAGACAGCTGGTTTGTCAGGAAGACGTCTTGGTTTAACCTCCCTTGTGCAAACCAAGCTGTCCGACCAAAAAAAATGTACGTGCATGTGTTTTTTTTTTCGTGTGTGTGTGTGTGTGAGAGAGAGATTTTGTAGAAATTTGAAACTCTTTTTCAGTTTATGAACTCAAAGAAGCAGGAAAAAAAAATATGAAAAATAGATTTAACTAAAACAAGGCCAAAGAACCAAAAAGCTTACAGAAAGAAGCTGACTTACCTTCCATTCTTCAAAAATCCCAAATTGGCGTGCAATTCTCTCAAAATCCATCTGGTCTTGGTAGTGCATCCGAACATCTCCATCTATATTATATGCCTTAAAGACAGCATCAGCTCCATGGACAGGTTTGGCATTTGAAATAAGGCTGGCAAAGTACTTCAAAAACTTCTCCTGCATGTTGGGAAAGTGTCTTTAATGAGAACAGAAAATAGACTAGATATTATTTGCTTGGAGTCACAGATATTAAATGAGACGATATTACCTCTTGCAGGTAGCTCAGATCCTTAGACTTCCAATCAACCTTGAGAAGAATCAAAGCAAGCAAGCAGTCACAACATGTCAAAAATTAGCAAAGAGAGATGCATGAAAGCATATCATATTGAACCAGCTACTACTTACGAGGACATCATTCAACTTGATGGACTCCAGATACTGTCTAAAGAATTGCCCAAGACTCGACCCCTGTGATTGAAAGACCAAGATAAGTAGCTTGTAAGATCTCAAACAAACACATTTCTCAAACTTGTCATGGATTTTGAAGAATAAAAAATAACTAATGTTATACACTCTCTCTCTAAACTGTCCCAGTAGCATATCACGGTAAGAATATTATGGATTGATAAGATACTTTCAGAGAGCTAAGAGTTAAGAGAGGGGTGTCTCGCGTTCAAATCATGTATAACATTCCCAAAAGCTTATATTCATTGAGGTCAATTCCAGAGTTCACTGAAAGATAAGCAGGTTCAAATTTGTTTCACAATTTTCCATACATTTGAATGATGTACTTTCCTCTCACGGGGCAAGTGCAGGTGCAATAAAAGGGAGCGAACATCCTAGTACTAGGTGCAATAAAGAAAGGCATTGGGAGAGCAACCGATTACAATATCCACATTGAAATATAAAGACAACAGAAATGATGCCAGCAACTTTTTATGTGTATGAATTGCTTTGGGAAAAAATTAGATCATGAACACTAAAACAATGTATCATTGTTTGAGATTCAGAAGATTCTTGAATATAATAAACAAATGTACATACATGTTCACCAAAGTTGTATGTCCTGCAAATTTCTGGACGAATGAATTGACGATCCTTCCGCACATCTTTTAACCTCATCCAGTCATCCCAATAAGTGTATGCTTATTAAGGACAAATCACTGAAAATCGAAAAGCAAACAAGCATCTCTGTGTTTGCCAAACCGATTAGTGCTAATAACTAAAGGGAAAACTTCCTACATATCAGCACCCATAGATAAAAGATACGTGTCTGGATGCCATCTGATCTACCGGACGGCTAGGAGAGCCCTTGCGAAGATGTCACAAAAAGGTGACCAGCTTGCAGCCAGCAGCCCATCTCATAAGATTTGTGTTCAGCTCTGGATTTTGGCCAATCTCTCTCTCTCTCTCTCTCTCTCTCTCTCTCTCTCTCTCTCATGCTCACTCATTGATCAATTTACAAGACAAACAGCAAAACCATCTTCAGAAACAATGCTGGTTCTATTTGCTCCACGATGTTTATCGAGAAACCCTGTCAAAGTTTCTTGGGCTTCATTACTACCCAAACAGGTGGCACAGCCATGGATGACTCGTTGCCTGCATAGCCATGGCTTCCTTTTCCCAAGGTTTCTCTCTATTCTTCAGCAACTCCTTCAAGCTTCTAGTCTTGCTTTTAACTATTGTGCTTACAGTGAGGTGAATTTTTCAAAGAATTGATGTTCTGACCTTTTATACTGGAACCACATGCTCTCAAATTCGTAAGATTCAGTCAGTAATCAAACATACACAAACTCTCTCTCTTCTCTCTTGCTTCTCTGCCTTTCACTTTTTCTTCTCTATTTTTTTTTTAATTTCTTCGTCTCTTTCTCCCCCCTCCTCTCCCCTCACTGGTTTCTTTTCCCTTTGTCTAGTTTAAACTATTCTTATCTTGTCTCCAATTTCTCTATCCATCACTTTGATTATATTTGGTCAGACAGTACCCATCACAAATTGATCAACGAAGGAGCACGCGAGAGAGAGAGAGAGAGAGAGAGAGAGAGAGAGAGGGAGCACGAGAGAGAGAGGTGTGGACAAAAACCAGAGGTGGGTTTCAAAACGTTGGCTATTGGCTGAGAGCCAGTAGCCAGTTTTCACCCACCTTTTTGTGACTTTGTCACAAGGCGCTTCCACATGTCCGTTTAGATCAAATGCCTGCTAGCGCCCAGACACATATCTTTTGTCTAAGTGTGCCAACATATAGAGACTTTCCCCATAAATTAAAGAGAACTTAAAAACCAAGGATATGCTTTAGGCCATTTTGGAGACAACTCATCCCACACAGATTTCGTTAGCATCCATCCAAGCCCAGGGAAGAAATCAGAACGATAAAGAACTTCTGCAGATATAATAAAACATAAATCAGGCAGGGTTGCACCTGAGAAAGCATTGTTTGCAAACCTTAGGCTTCATTCTAGATTTCAAAGAAGAGCGCAAAAAAAAAAAAAGTTCCTTCAGTGTAGTATTCAAATAAAAAAATGACGTATAGAAGTTGAATCTTTATAGCATCTTAATTCTCACCAGGATCTTGAACAAACTGCTTTTGTCCATTGTCATTCCAAGATGAAACAGCCATGATAGTGCTTTTATAAGGAAACAACGAATCCAACAAATAGAAACAAAATTAGAACAGGTTTCATTATGGACTCCTGATTTTGAATGAAACCATAGTGTTTAAATGCCTAATTGAAAACATACTTATCTTTCTCAAGAAGAAGCGATGCCGCCCCAAAGTAATCAAAGAAATCTGGGGCAATCTCCATATCATCTGTCTTCAGGAATGAGATCATTATTATCAAATACTTGCCCCACATCATGCAGCGAAAATGAAAAGATACAAGAAGAAAAATGTACAGCAAGACTCAAGTAAGCACCTTCTAATATAATTACTCGACTGAAATTATACTCATCAAATAGTCTATGCAGAGCCCACTTGTAGTGATCTGGAGACAACTTAGTCAGCAGAAACACCAAAAAAGAAAACAAAACAAAAGATAACAAAAAAGTGATATGCAAGAAATGGAAAAAAGCTGAATATTTACTTGCAATTTTGTAGTAGGCAATCAACTCTCCAGGCCTCTCAGTTCTTATTGGTGAGGACTCAATATGCTGCAGCCCATCAAATCAATGGCTTGAGGCAATAGTAAAATATTATTCACAACAGAGATTCTCAATAATTATTCAAATGAGCAAGCAATCCAGTGATATTGATAATTCATTGTAATAAGAATGTAAATATAACACGGACATTCTCGAGCATTAAAATATTGGAAGACCCAATCACACTTTAGTAATGGAAATCCACCTTTTTTTCCTCAGTTGTCACAAATGACTTGACTTATTTGGAACAAAATTGAAAAATCAGTTGCTCATTTGTAAGTTTGTAGACAACAATCCTGTAATCTTGTCATCCGAGATGATTAAGCACAACAAGTTCAATACAACTCTTTTTATCGTCAGGGGGCAGATCACTCTTCCAACCACTCCACAGTGCTCAGTTAGGTTCATACAAAGGTCATGATAACCTGTGTCATCATCTCCAGTGACCATAAGATATTGAAACTTACAAAGGATAATATAATGCAAATGGTTTTGAGTGCATTCTATAAAGCAGTAACATTTGATACAGCTTCTAATTCCAGATCAGAAAAGTATATAAATAGTTCCCATGCTTCATTTGCCAACTGCGTCAGCCCCCAGCATCCCCCTCTCTTCTCTTTTTTCAATATATAGGTGTAATAAATCATTGAAAATAGTACAATAGAGAAGACCTTCTGAGGTGTTTTCTTTGTGAAATGTAGCTAGAGGAACAGAATTTTCAATACCTGCTCCAACATAAAAGCTGCTGGCAAAAGGTTGTCCCTTGACCTCTACACAAAATCTAAGTATTTTTTTTTGGGCTTTTATTACAAAAAAAATCCTCTCTAATTGCACTATGCCAGTAAATGATCGGAGAAGGTCACATTCCATAAGGAACAGTTTTAGCAAATCCTTTTTCCTTTTTTCTTTTTTTTTTTTTTCCGTTGATATGTGACTTTAACCATTGCTAGTCCCAAGCCCGCATGAGAAAGGAGTAGGCTTGTGTTTGGTTGGAATCTAGAAGAAAACTTTTGTCACATCCCTATCATGAATCCTAATCAAACATTATGTAGCCGACCCCCAATAGTTCGGATAAAGCTTGGATGATGATGATGATGATGACTTTGATATGTGACTTTCTGTAGATCCATACAAGTTTACTGCATGGCAACCTCAAAATAGTATAAGCATCAGAAACTAAAGAGCATCTAATGATTTTCCACCGCCACATATAATAACAAGCAAGCAATATGAAGCCCATTCACAAGAAATGTGATTTAGGATATAAGCATATTGTTGGTCCATACGAGAACGTCTTATTGAATGTTTTTGATAGATAAGAATCTGGAATCAAAGCCAAGAAACTGTGGAGGTAAAGCCTCTCCATATGACTGGACATTTTAACTGATATCAATATGTACAATTCCTGCTTACTTTTGGAAGCTGTTGATAGGTGTCTCATCTTGGCCACATGGAATGACCTCGAAATAGAAATTTTTGATAGAGCTAATTTATAAAATACTGCACTTTTTTCAAGCCTCATTACAATTTTCCAGCCTCTTACATTTCTCACTTGCAGAATTATCATAAAGCCTTTTCCTAAAAAGCTATAAGATTCAACTGAGTTTCTCAAAGAGTTACAATTTCCTTTTCTGAGAAGTTACAGGCCATTGTAAAGCAGAAAAAAGATATTACTAATATATCAGATCAGAAAGGTCCACCAGACTGAACTGTTTCATGAAAATTACTACTTTAACTCCAAACATGCAACAAACTGGGTAAAATCTGATTTAGAGGTACTGAAAGTGAAACAGAATGCCACAAATCAGTCAGATCAAACAAATAGAGGACATATATTCCATATTTAATGCTAAGTTTGTCAGATATAATATGAAAGAACATCCAGAAACAATAGAGGGACTTTTACTACAGCAAAAGAATAACTCAATCCACCAATTTACCTGCATATATGTGACCTGATCATAGCTTAGAGCTTTACTTTTCACAGTTTCATGAGTTCCATCCTGCAACAAGATACAAGATATCAAACAGAATGATCTGTAGGACATAGAAAAATAAAATTCAAATTTCAAATAAAGTTTATATCCCAAAGTATACTAATCAACATGTGGTTTTCAAGAGTTGAAACCATATGATTTTTCTAGGGTGCAAAATGGTACTCTTCAGCACTCTTAAGAAGCTTCCAATGTGAAAAAAGTCAGAGTAGGAGGTTTCATGAGAAGTACTTCAGGATCCTGGGTGAAACATACAACTTTATTAGATGACTACAGAACTCAGAAGGATAATAGAAGAACCTAAGTAGCCAAGAGAACAAGATAGGCTGATAAAGAATAGCATCCAGTTAACAGCTCCTCCCACAAGAGGCGTTGATAGAATTGAAATTCAAGAAAGTTGTGGCTTGAAAAGCGGAATGAAACACTTGATTTTCGTTAACAGCAGTGTACCGGGACTCCTCTGAGTTCACAAGGACCCGGCCTAGCCTAATAACCCGAGTTGTGTGACAACTCGGGTATTTTAACCTTATCAAAAAAAATCTAAAAAATTGAAAAAAAATTTGTAAAAAATAAGGTATGAATACAAGTGTTTTTTACATGACTTCGATGTATTTGGAAAAGATTGGTGAGTGTTTTGTGCCATAAATCCTTGTTTTTATATTTTCCCCTTTTTTTGGATTTTCTGAAATACTCTCCCAACTATAAATTTGTTTTTTCTAAATCCATTTACCAATACTTTTTTAAGTTTAATTGGACTCCTAAAGATTGGTTTTTGTTTTATTTTGCTTCTAATAATTATTTTTTTTTTTTGGGAATTTTTTCTTATTTTTTTTCAATTCATTTTGGGCTTTTCAGCCCTGTGCATGACTTGGCTGAGCCCTGAGGACTCGGCCGAGCAACTCTCCTCAACCAGGGGGCAGGTTCCCTGACCGAGACATGTTTTTGTACACTGATTAAGAGCATATACATAGTAATACTGGACGAGAAAGGCTCCTCGTTGCTCTTTTTCCTTTATTATTGCTAAGTCCTTAAGCAAGCTTCTTAGTAGGACAATCTAGGAGGGAAAACTGGAGATTCTTTGCAGTTTTAGGTATATCAGGATTCCCAAATACTAATACAGTTAACAGACAATAAAATTATCTTTGGCAAAGCATCTTTGTATAGGACCCACACAAGGTAATCTTCGTTCCTGTTCACCATTTAACTCAAGTACACAACTGACTGCACAACCATGATGGAGTACATGAAAGAGTGTCTCAGACTAAAATATGGATATTCTAAAATTTGCAAACAATGTTATTGTGTTTCAGTGTTTGACAAAACTCATCCAAACAGGTCTTCATTGAGAAATTGAGATTCTTGTATATCTTTCACTCAGCATCTAGACATAAGTCATATCTGAGAGATACTAAGAGTAACAGATGTAAAATGAGTTAGAAGTCAGTGAAGACCATGGATACGGTTATGGGAGGACACGCATCAATTCTTCCTTTGACTCACTCCCCACTGCTAAATGAAAAATCTAAAACTTACTAATGGGACTTGGGACTGGCAGAAATGTAAATGATGCTTGGATGGGAATATGTTATATATCTAAGAGATCAATTACCATAACTAAGGTTCTTTTGACCAGTTCACTAATCATACATCTTTATAGCCTTCTAATTTTCTTAAAATGTGTGTTTCCCATCACCCGAGACAACTCAAACCACACATTTTTCATTCTTCCATGCAATTGTTGGTTTCTTACTATTTAAAAGTATTTTACCCTCATGATTTTTTTCTCTTCCATCTATCCTAACAAAAACTTTTTTCTCCTCTGCCTAAAAATCGACTCACGTATCTCTTTCTTTCTTCTGCTAAAATATTTTATACCTCCATCCTCTCTTTACATCATTCCTAGAAAATTGATTTTTTCTGTCCTCTTGCTAAGATTCTTCCCTTTTATCTCTGTCTCGCCTTCATTCAAAGTCCTCTCATGCACATCTATAAAACTCCCCCTTTTTCCCATATCCCATGTCTCCGTGTCCCTAACCCCCACATGAAACAACCCCAATCCCTCCCTCTCCCTACCTCCCTGCCTCTCCCTACCTCCCTCCCTCTCTCTCTCTCTCTCTCTCTCTCTCTCTCTCTC